GTTATGAAAATTCTACCGAATAAACCAAATTTATTGGTAATTTTTGAAAAATCTGATTTTTTTTTCCAAATTCAGTTAACTGGATAAATTTGGTTAGTTCGATAGGTTTTTTTTTTTAAATTGAATGGGCCAAAAATAAGAAACCCAAAAAAAATCTACCTAAATGAACTTTGCAAATTTAACAAAATGAACATAAAACCCATTAATACCTAAAACTCAGTAATACGAGTAACCTGTTCGGTTCTTCATGGGGTTTTTCAAAATTATAAAATACTAAATATTAATAAAAATATTATGGGTTTGTTCTACTATTGGAAAACCCACCTAAAAGGTTTTTCATGTAGAAACTTTCAAGTAGATTTCTCCAATAGTGAAAGAAACCCATAATATTTTTATTAATATTTAGTATTTTATAATTTTGAAGAAATTCATGAATAACTCATGGTTGGAGATACTTTTAAACTCTGGTCATGGTCAAGCAATTAAACAAAAAAAAGCCTTTATCTCTCCTCTACCTCTGACGCTGCGACTTATTTTAGAAACAAATGTGGAGTCGTCGGGAGTTTTCGGTGTCGCTGAAGAAAACGTAGTCATGTAATTGACTTCCGACGTGGTGCAATTTTAATCTTTACATACATGTGTCTCAAGCAAGCTATAATGACGTGCTTTTTTTGGTGTCGCATGCTGTTGCCGCAATGTCTAACTTCCGAACAGACTAAAGACCTAATTTTTACATGAGGCAGCGGCAGCACACGCAAAGAGAAATGTAAAAGACGATGACTCGCCAACACAGAAAACCATATAACTTAGATGTTGAAGATGGCGGAATGATAACACAAAGTTGTTGAACATAGGTCGGGTTCCTCAATAAATTTATATTAGATAAGAGATCGGAGAATCTCGTATTAGATGATAATGTCGGGAACGACTTGTTACAATAGAGCGGTAAGAGATGGACAACATATCGGGTAAGTGTCGGACTATAGGTCGGTCTTCTGCTAAGGTCGGGACGAGTGGTAACTGAAGTAAATTGGGGTTGATCTGTAGGAAAAAGAGAGATTAATTGTCCCATATCATCATCATATGGAGACCCTTATTTATACTAAAATGAGTGAAAGGAAGTATAGTTTAATCCTAAGTTCCTAACTAAAGTTGCCTAATCTAACCGATGTTAGGTCAAGCCCCTTTTGACTTCGAGTTGGACTTGGGCTCGTTCTGGGTTTTATTTCTTAATAGATCGCAGGCCTATGTCCAACAGAAGTGTCGACGAAGAGATCGAAAGAAGAAGGGGATAAAATTGAAGGATTATACACAAACCGAAAAACCAAACGGTTTGGGAACAAAACCGAAAACCGAACCCATTTCATATATAGTACTATCCAAAAATTATTCTTTAAAAATGAAAACATTTGGAAGAAGAGTCCACCTTAGCCTTTTCATCGTCTTCCTCTCATCGATCCTCGCTTTGATCGTCATGGCTGAATCTACCGGAGCAGCACCAGCACCAACCTCCGAAGCGAAGGTTCACATCGTCTACACCGAGAAACCCACCGGTGATCAAGATCCCAAAGCTTTTCATCTCCGTACCCTTTCCTCCGCTCTCGGCAGGTTCGTAATCAAATCTCTCTCGTCGACGATCCTTCTCTCTCGATTTCCACCGGATAAATCTTATGAATTTTCTGGGTTTGTTGTTTTTGGATGCGATCGCTTTGATTTAGGGTTTTGTTTCGCCGGAATTTCGATTAGTAGCTTGAATTCGTTTGGTTGTATTCGTTAAGCAATTTGAAATCGAAGTATCTGAGTTTTTGTTAAGCAATAAGAAATTGAATAATGGATTTTGGTTTGTTCTTATAATGGTGATTTTCAAACAGTGAGGAAGCTGCAAATGATGCTCTGATTTACACTTACAAGGAAGCTGCTACTGGTTTTTCAGCTAAGCTCACACCTGAACAAGTCGCCGAGATTTCCAGTAAGTTCATCAGATTTCTTGTTTTGATCCTTTTACTTACTCGTGAACCTGATGAATGCAGAAGATTTTTGTAGCATCTCTATTCGATTATGTGTTTATCTGGTTGAGATCATTTGACTCGAGTGGACCGTTTTATTGTATACGCTCGGAACAATGAAATGTGTTTTGATTGACTTGTTTAGATTCAATTGTGACGACGGTTGATGTAAAAATCTCGATTTGGTCTAAGTTTTCAAAATGTATTCTGATATCATCTCTGGCTCTCTGCTTAAGTTGTGATTGTTCAATGTTTCCTCTAGGTTAAAGATAAGCATACTTATGATTTTAAACCCGTAGAAATAGAATCATATAGTCATGAATGCGCAATTTCGAGTATGTAGGTTCAGAAAATAAGATAAAGGTCTCAACTTGCCTATGTTTTTTTTCCTCTGTTTTTTCTCATTCTCATAAGTTTTTTTTTGGGGGGGGGGATTTGGATGTTGCAGAGCAACCAGGTGTGATTCAAGTTGTGCCAAGCCAGACTTATCAGTTGCACAAACC